CCAAAAATGGAATAGTCCGATGTTGAGGCCATGTCCGTTGAATGTTAATTAACAGACTATAAGTTCAATTACTATAAGCTTATTATTCATCAAAATGACTTTAGAATGGTAAGGTCTAACGTGGGATCTTTGAATGTATACTTGATTTTAAAAATATTTATTTTTTTATTATATAATTAAATAAAAAAATAATTTTAAAAAAATATATTCTTTAAACACATTGGAGTTCATAATTCGGATAATTTATTTGACAGGTTAAATTTGAATTGATTTAATATATCTCATTAAGGTTTTTTTCAGACTCATCAAATTGAATGAGTAATGTTATTTCAATTACTACTTAATTTAATTTTAAACTCAAATTTGATAAAGATTTGAATTAAAAGATTTTAAAAGTAACCTACTAGATATTTTAAAGTATATATTTTCACTTTTTGAGTTGGTAAATTTAATAATAATATTAAATAATTTTTAATGTTCTGGATATTTTTTTACATTAAAATATTTTTTTTCAGTTCAAATTGCTCCATGAACTAATATAGTGTTATTTGCTCTGTATTCTTGACAATATTGTTGTTCGAATAACCAGCTATTCGAAGACCTCAAGGATGTAAAATCTACCTATTTATTAACAGGTTTCAAGCCACTGCTAGCGTTTTTAAAGCATTAATCCACCATCTATTTGGTATGTTTGCTAGCTGATCACCCTATTGTTGGTTTTTTTTATTTTTTATTTTTCTTCTAAATGAAGCTTCACGAGCAATAATGTACAAACAATTAGGCAAGTAGGGAGACTGGGGGAGCATTCATCCTGGGCTCGATATTTTTGGGCCTGGGCCCCTTTGTCCAAAGCATACCCGGATTACAACTAATATTTGTTATTTTATTTTTTTTAATAGGAAATTTGGAAGAGCTCCTGGTTATCTTGTTGAGGGAGCAAATGCCAGTTCATCAGCGAGAGAGATTGGAAAAGCGAAGACAATGTCACCGACAGCCGACATGACTCCTGGATAACGTTAACAAGGTCAAAAACGAGTGAGATGCAGGCTGGAGTGGACAAGCTGTCCAGTTGAACGCCACAGGTTGTGGCACGCACACACGCAAGACTGACAATTTCATCGCCATCCCTGTTCTCCACGCTTTCTATCACTATTATCAATATATTTTGTCAACCAAATCTACTCCAGTTTATTGTCCAATCATATATTTCTCTGCTGGCCATTTATACAGACAATCATTAACAATAAAAGAGAATGAACGCGAAATTACTTATTTATTGAATTTGAAAAAAAAATTTACTTGATTTCTTTTTTTATCCATACTTTTATTTTTTTATTTTATTTTTTAATATTATATTTATTTTTTATAAGTTTATCTATCTTTTTTCTATGGTATAGACTGCTAGTAAATCCTGTTGGTATGTCCTTTTTAATTTTTATTTTTTTATTTTTTAATATCTGAATAATTAAAAATTAAATTTTATAATTTGTTTTATAATACATAACAAATTAACTTGAGTTGACTAGAGCTATTTTTTATCTCTTTTTTTAATTAATTTTTTTTATTTTATTTTTTAATATTAAATTATTGTAAATTGAGCTTCATAATATATTTTGAATTATTCTTTATCGAGATATCTTAATCTCATAATGAGATTCGTGATTTTAACCCAGGTTGAATTAGTTTTTTTTCTAAAATATTATATCAGTCCTATAACTTAAGACACGGGTCCTTAAACATTTGTTTTTTAGCAGGTTCTCCTTAGCTCATAACTTGATTCACGGTTTGGTAGTTTAACTCAGCTCACTTAATTTTTTTTAATTGACTTTTTTCTTAATTTTGTTAATTAAAATTGTGTTTAACTGGGAATTGAGTCTCGTGATTTATTTTGATTCGCTTTTTATTAAGTTATGCCAGCTTCATAGCCCATGAATAATACTTAACGAGTGAAATCGGGTTTGCTCATTTTTATGTTATTTTTAATTTATTTTTTAATAAATTTCATCATTCAACATTGAGTTTGACAAGGTCAATTAAGAATTGAGTTTTATATATATATTTTTTTTTTACAGGGCTATCTCAATCTCATTACTAAAGTCACGGGTTTGACGGGTTAACTTGGGTTAAATCAAGTTTTATTTTTTTATATGGAGCTACGACCTAGGGTGTGGGGTTAATGGATTGACTCGTGTCATTTTCATGTTTTTTTTTTAATCTTATTTTTCAGTACTGGACTGATTAGAAATTAAATTTTGTTATTTGTTTTGATTTGTTTTTTTTTAAGTTATCTCGATCTTGTGGATTAGATAGCGGATTTGACATGTTAAATCAAATCGCCTTTTTAGATTTTTTTTAATTGATTTTTTTAATTTGATCATTTAATATTAGATTTTTAAACTTTATAATTTGTCTTTATTTTCTTTCTATATGATTATCATAATCTCATAATTCAATTCATAAATTTGATATATTAACTCATGTTGACACAAGTCAATTCAATATATTATTATCTTAACATTAAAAAAAATTATTTTATAAATTAAATTATATTTTTACGAGTTTCTAAGTTGTTTTTGTAATTACAAAATCAATCAAGTTAATTTTTATATGGTTTCAAATTTTTTTACTAGAAGAATATTAGTAATATTTTGATATTTTTTATATTAAAAAAATTAAGCAAATAAATGTTGTAGTTTTATGTAATATGTTGTGGTGTCCATGTCATCCAAAAGTCGCATGAGGCCGTTGCCACATCTCTGGCTTCTGCCCTCTTATATTATACTTAAGTTGTAACGCTTGTCACCATGTCCTTCAATTCAATTCATTTCCTTGATTTGTATTTGTATTTTTGTTTTTTAGTTTTTCTACGAACTCCGATTTTTGTCTTGTCTGCTGATTAAAATACAATGATACGCTGCAAATTATAAGATGTTTTCTATAATGGATTGTGTGGAAGTAAAACGACGGTGGTCGTCGTTGTCATTAGATTTGAATATGTGCGCTTCTTCGAGCACCATCCATTACCGTGACGGGTCAATAAGACCAAGTTCGCCGCCAAGGATATCGTGCATTC